TTTCTTTATACCTTACTTTTTCAGACGAGTTGCTGGCGAGCATACGTAGGCTTTCGATAAATTCCCATCAAACCATTACATTTATATGGGAAGGGGGTAAAAGGTACAAGTCAACATGCAGGCAATTATGTTCATCATTAGAAACAAATTATTCATGGGATTAGGGTAGGAGAGGGTGTATGGGGGTTGATAATATTCGGCTGGTTACGCAGACATTAGGGTTTTTTGAAGCCGGACAGGAGGTAGGGTGGATGGGAGAGAGGAATCGTGGAAAAATGCAGGCAGTTATGTGACCGTTGGTCATGCCAACTTCGGAGCCTACAGGAGGTTCATTTGCGCGCATAGACTCGGCCTCCTCAATCGGGTAGCAGTTTCTTCTGTTGTTTCTAGCAAATGCTGACCTAGGGAATTTGGGTAGTTTGGTGGGACCTTATAAATTACCTTGAAGGCTTCTTTGGGGTCCACACGAATTCCGAAATCAACAATGTGGGCAAGGATGGCGCTTTTGATGCTCCTGACTTCACCTTTGCTAAGCCATGCTAGGAGGTGCTCCCCCTCCCCTATTCCCATGACTAATTTGCCTCTAATGATGAACATAATTGCCCCCATGTTAACTTTTACCTTTTACCCCCTTCCTATATAAATTTAATGTAAAGTAAATGTAATGTAAAGTTGAGAAGACGACTCGATCGCTGGGATGAGAAGTTCTTGAAAGCCTACGTATGCATGCCAGCTACTCTAATGAATTCTCTGAAGAAATTATAGTAATCTTACTTTTTGACTAAGCGGAGATTAATATTTGAGGCCTGTGTAAACATGCATATGATTTTAAGTCCGCATGCAGGCCAGATCACCAATACCGTCTAATCACGGTCTATATAGCTCAGCGGCTCATCAGTTAACCAGACTGTCCATATTAGACTATAAATAGTTCAAAGGATTTTCTACTAGTGGCGGCAAAACTTTGTATACACAGAAGCAATTTTATGCTATTAAGTATAAAGCATTTTGACTGAGGTCTAGTTGCGTTGCCCCTGGATCTAAAAATTCTCAGCGTTTGTCATTTCACGCAAAATGCATCAAGGTCATGTACTTTCTAGCGTGTAAGTGCATGCTCGCCTTCGGAAGTGCACATAGAATCATGGGTGGATACTTTTGTACAGTTAAGGAAAACGATCAATCTGTAATAGTAGATGTGTTCTATCACCAAGTGGCATGCTGCAGTCGCCACTAGCCTGCAATTCAAATACTGAACGTGACGGGCACTATGCTATTATTAAAAAAAGCGTTTTGTAGTCACCGATGTTTCTAATTGCAGTGTTTGCGTGCGCTGACCTATTTGCATATATTTAAATATCTTATTTTTCCATTTTCTACTGCTGTTAAAGCCGAAGAACGCAAAATGGTCTTATTGCAAAAGAATTTACCAAAATAAAACGAAGATATTGCGAGAGTTTTTGTACTCAGTAGATTCATTCAGCCAATTCGTTTGGGAATGGCAAAACAAACCCAGAAGGACGCGTGCAGCCTTATTAAGGAGGACTATGATCATGGGGTCAGGTCGCATACGTCCTCATTCATTTAGCCACGTCAAGGGAAAAAAACACGAAACAGGAAATCTTAATTGCTGGCTTAGTTGTCACCGTAGGTCCTATCAACTAGCCATCCTGTCGGAGCTTAACTAGAAAATTAAGGCACATGCATAATTTTCGGGCTGGGACATAGAAGATGGCGTATATTCTTGGTACTCTGGATTATAACCCACGTAATGTATCACTGTAAGCCTTAAATGATCAGTTTTACTAATAAATAACTGAAGTCTAGAATAGTTATTTCTAATCCTTTTCTTGTCGCCAACCAAGCAACCTGACCGAAAGTCGCAAAGCACTTTTTTCTATGAGAAAAAGCGTTCCTTGGATGGTATAGTTAGGGTGCATTCCAGCCTCTTCTAGCAACGTCCCGCAATTAGAAGTATCTTGGAATATTCGATTGTCTTTAGTTCCCTATAAAGTGCTCTTCTGCAGGCTTAACTGATTACGACTTGCCTTGTTCGTTTGCCGAAACTGTGTGTAGTCTTTAATGTGCCTACAGAGATGGAATTATGTTGATAAACTATGCAAGTAGGAGCCGTCCAGTCCGACTGTCTGCGTCATTGTCGCTCGTTTGGGCCCCTTAGCTAAATGCCGTTTCCCATAGTGCTGAACGTTAACGCCCTTATGACCTAATATATCTCTGCATAGCATGAGAACTCACAAGAAAGCAGTGTGGGAGTAGATAAGGGAGCTGAAGTAGTACCTTCCCCTTTTCT